GGTAAGTAATCATGTGGTAAAATTTCCGTAGCACGTCACATACAATGTCCGAAGATGTCTTACGACGACTGTTACCACGGTGTATTTTTACGGTCTTTTCAGTGGCCGTCATTGCCTGAATACAGGAGAACGACGTTGTTTTAACCGACGCTGAGTTCCTATTTCTAGCCGTTATAGACCAAATGCGGTCAAATACAGTAACAGACTATAATAAAGGCAAAACAAAAATAGGTTACGCAAATGAATTGTCAAATATGTATGGTATACTCTACGGCAATGTTTCTTACACTTTTTAAGATCACGGAACACCAAAAAACAATATAATTTTAAGCGGAACATTTAAATAAAAGAAAATTTTCTTTAAAAAAAAAGAGAATAGATAAAACATGACAACAAACGATAAAATATATACAATACAGTAAAAACAAAATTAAATTGTTTAATTAACATTAGAGTAGTTGATACGGAGAATGTCGTTGCTAATTTTATTTTTTTTCATTACTGCTATCATTAGATGATAGATTGTTGTAGAATTTTAAATCACCTTTTTTTCAAACCTACCGGAAACCCTATGAGTTATTCGTGGAATACTAAGGGTCTACAGAACACTGCAGTTTAAGTATAATTGCTCAATATAGTGTTGTTTAAAAACAATTTTTTTATCATATGAATTATTTAATTACCTATACAATAATATCATTTATTATATCCATAGAAATATTTTTAATCGTTTTAGATTATTAATTTAAAATAATAATGTTCAATAATAATAATAAAACAAATATCTATTAAAACTAAATTAAATAAATTGAGAATTTATTTTATTTTTTGAATGATAAGTCTCAGAAATTGTTTATAACTATAACTGCTATTATGATCAAATCAGTCCTTATTTTATATAATTACTTTAACCGAAATTATTATTAAATTATTTTCAAGTATCAGAATATTTTTGAATTGTTTGAATAGGTCCACTTGTTGTAACTAGTAGAGTAATAATATAATAATTGTTGTTTGTTATAATATTATTGTGTTCTTATAATCAGTATTTGGCGCTTTGTGTTTCAATTCCAAATCCTCACAATTTTATCTGTAACTTAAAACAAAATTATTAGACATTGAATAAAAGTACAAAACAAAATAATTATACTGCGCGTATCCGCGTATGACGTAATATGTGTTCGTTTATCGAAGAATCGGTAGTTCAACGAATTATTTTCTTTATCTATGGTGTGGACCTACAGACGACCGACAGCCGAAAAGTCATACAATGATCTTCATCTGAATCATTGCAAAGTTTTTACTTGTATACCGTTATATTTTAAAAAAGATCTATAAAAAATTTTTATATGTCCGTAGTTCTTTTCTTTAGTAGTCTTCGCGGTAAATTTTAAGTCATGATTATCAAAATAATCATAAATCGGTCATGTACTTAATTTTTTTTTCTATATTTAATTTATTATTGTTGATTTAATTGATTTTTTGTAAAGATTTTTTTTTACAAATAATTCAAATTTTACAGACGCACCGGCGATATTCGTCTGCCTGTGGGACGGACCGCGAGAACAATGCAAAGGTGACCAGTAGCCTATACTTTATTCGTTCTTCATAATTTGCATCCATTTCACCATCTCGTATCCATCTCCTTGTTAATTGTATTGTCCTTTCTGTATGCACTTTCTCTTTTTTTTTTTTAAATCGTGTTTATTTTTGCTTTTTCCAAAGACCAATTTTTTTTGTTCACATTAATGTGTTTAGTTTTGTTTAATTCTTTTTTTTTTTGTCATAAAAATACACTCTGCAATGATATATTTTTTATTTTTTTTTTCATCGATTTCATAATTTTAAAGTAAAACATGTTGTGTGAACTACATCTTTTTTTTTTGTTTTTTTTTTTAAGGTCAATATTTGTTATTTATTTATACGTTTGTTTAGTTGTTGAAAATTAAATTTTTTTCTTGTATTGTCAAATATACAAATCAATTTCTACAAAAATAATAACTTATAAAATCGTTTAAATATACATACATACATACATATATTTATTCGATAGAAGATTATTTTTATTGAGTAATGAGTATAGTCAAATCGGTCTGCAAGCTGTAGTTTAAAGTTTATAAACGCTTCACATATTATATAACATACCACACAATATGTATCAAGAAATAGTTAAAATATTATATCACAATAAGGCTCTAAAATAATCTAACGAATTGTTTAGAAAACGAAATAAATCATAAAACAAAACATAAGATCAACAAAAATGACATCGATAGGTATATGAAGATTGTATAATTATTAGTATTGGATGCGAACGTCAATAGTCGAATAGTTTATACAATATTATGAATAAAAAGGTAGTCAAGTGGATACTAGTTTGCTGTACATTAGGTGTTGAGTGGGTCTTTGTAGTTTTACGAGTATGTTAAATTTGAATTCAATGATATATTGTTGTATAAGTACCAAAACGTTTTTGAGTGAATTATGAAACTAGCTATAAAATAGAGTCTACTAGTACCTACATGGTTACACTATAATCTACAATTTTATAAAATATAAATTTTATGGAAGTTAAATGTAATACATTCTTTTTAATTATTAGTTTATTACCTCAAACTCTACTTACATTAAATTATCCGTTTAATTTTTGACAAACCTAATAAATGATATGTCAAGTAAAATCTATAAAACAGTTGAACATTTTTCAAAATCGTACACTTCTGATGAATTAAACGATGTTATAACCACGCGAACGTATCACGCACGTGTTGTGAACTCTCGAGGTCTTTATATAAAAAAAATTAGAAAATCTAAATTGTATTCTTATTATCAATGAACACGAACAGCTATTGAGTGCAGTTCATAGTTTAGGTATATATAGGGCTTTTGAAATACTGAAAGATTTCTATAGATGGCGCTGCCGTTATTATTTTATGATAAATACATATAATTATTAAGAAAAAAAAATGTTAAGCGAAGACTACAATTTAGTTATCTAATATAACAATCCAGAAATATGATCTAAATAGTAAAAAACTGTTTATTTCTGTGTTTTTAAATGTAATAATCATTTAAAAATGATTTTCTGGTATAAGATTATTAGTTGGTGGTAAGTCAAATGATAACTTCCTTAAAGTGATCATCGTTCTTTTTTTTTACATAATACATATTATAAAATTGTTGATGGTTAAGTTTTATTTAACATGTACCTACATACCATTAAAATCTGTTTAAAGCCTTTAAAGCAGAATTTTATCACAAAAATTATTTTGGTATTTTAATGAGAGTAAATGTATACATAACTGAATGAGCAACGTTATGCTCTAATCTATTCAAGTAAACTCATAACGTTATTGTATTGCAGTTAATTCATCAATCGTGTAGCTATGTGTCCAAATTTGGTTGAAATGCCTGTATGCCAATATTTACCTAATTGTCAATGAACCATAATCCTATTTATAAACAAATCAAATGAAAATTGTGAATACAAAAAAAATGTATTACAAATACATTTTGTGTTTAAATTGTATTATTAATTTTTAATCAATGGAAAATATTAAGAACAATGATAATTTGAACTATTTAAAATGATATGCAGTCCACAATAAGTACTGTAAAATATTAATTGTAATGCAATTTATCTTATCCGTAGAACAATGGAAATATGTACAACGAAGTATGGACTTTTTCCAAGTTTTGCCAAATAACATTCCGTTGGGTTTGTTTCCATCTCTATGTCAGTATACTGACTATTGGAGTGCTCAGATTTATTTAGTAAGGTAACTTGGACTTTTTAAAATATTAAACTTATCAATACTGTTAAAACTCCACACCGATATGTCTGTTAAACAACATAATAATTTTATTCTTCAATAAACTGAATAAAAACACACTTATATAATTTACCATAAAATCATTATTATTAGATTATTCTGCTTTAGGTTTTGCTAAATCCATAACTCTATTTTAGATTTATTATTTAGTGGTTTGTTCTGTAAGTTTAATATGGATCTAAATAACTGGGTATTTCTCATAATTTTATATTTTTAACTATACAATAATTATGACATTATAATTAATAATAAACAAAATCATTTAGTTGTAAGTATCACAGTTTTTAATTCATCATTAATAATTTACACATAATATTCATTATAATATTCAAAAATCATACGTAAAATATAATAAAGCCTAAATCTAATATATTTTCTCTTCTTAATTTTTTTATAATTAAAAACATATCACATTTTGAACGCAACACACCGTACATTTGTTAGGCGAATGACATAAATTGGTACATAGTAAACGTGTTAAAATAGTTCTACATGTACACTGTGTAAATAGCGGAAGGTCATACGACTTTTGAGACCATACATAATATAATATATAATTAGTCGAAAAAGACAGGTAACTGAACGACAAGTTTGAGAAAAGATAATAATAAAACATAATAATATGTTTAAATGATGAATGTGAACAATAATAATAAATAGAGCACGTTGAATAAAAGCATCAATAATAATAATTAAAAAAAAAAAAAAATAATAAAATAAAATAATTATATAAAAATTACATTGAGCGATTCTTTAAAAATCTTTATTATTATTTTTTGGTTGGAATGAATATGATGTGATTAACAATAAAAATTGTACGACGGATATTGAATAATTGAATATAATATTGAGTATAATATAATATTTATTTTATAAAACAAATAATTTAGGTGTCTTTTACCATATTCTAATTAAACATTATTTTATTATTATCGTTATTTTTATTATTATTATTATATTATTAATATTCAGTAAAAAATATTAAGCTTATTGTAATCGAATATATAATATACTCTCGTATATACATATAAATGTATGTATGTATTACACACGCATAACAGAATGACTCAAGTCTACGTTTGTACGTTCTATTAAAAATATATAAGTGTAAACATGTATTTATACACATTGTACATATATATATGTGTGTGTGTAGTAAACCCGACGAGTATGACGTATAATATGTAAGAAGAGGTCGTTTTTATTGAATTCGCTTTTGTTTTTCATACGTTTTATTTGATTTGAATTGACGTAGATGACCGGTAGAAGGAAATATAGTCGACGTTATCGTAACGATGACGCACTGTAATGTGTTTTTTATACTTTTTAAACTTGGAAGAAGCGAATATAAACGGTACGCGGTCCGTTGCCGCGGGGTTGTCGTCGACGGGCAATGGGTTGGACGAAACCGAGTGACCAACTCGCGTTGGCCACGTAGCTATCATTAACTGCCGTCGCGTTTTACTGGCGACCGTATGACGCTGGGCCTGGACGATGATGATGGGGTAGCAACTACTGACGATCGTTTCTGCAACGGCGGCGATGATTCCACGTCCACCGGTATTAATGATGGATCGTCGTCTTCCTTGTAGTGAGGACCTTCGGATAGTGTCTCTTCAATGATCACGTATATCTTATCTTTGTCCGACTGCGAGTGAAAAAAAACCGATTAATTGTTTTGCATTGTCTAATGATTTTATAACAATCCACCATCTATATCAGATCTGCAATGGCGCAAAACAGGAAAAACGAGAAAATATGATGTCTAGTCGAAAACATTGTTTACTGCAGTATACGCCACTTACAAGGATAAATATTTTATGCTACCTAGAAGCTAGGGTTACTTTAACTTTTAGGTTAGATTAGATTAAAAAGTAAAGAGTGTGTTGTTGTGATAAAATAATAATCCTATACATAGATACTCAAAATTTGTGAGAACAATTCTCAAAACAAAACATACTTTAAGTATAATGTATGCGGTATAAAAAATATATAAGTCAGTCTCCCGTAAATATGAATGACAAGACTTATAGATGAATCAAATAACTTGTACGAATCTCTTATCGATGAGATTGTAATACATAACTATATAACTATATGAAATGAAAAGGAATTTATGAAAATTATTTTAGTAATAATAGTTAAGTGGTATACACACAACTTGAACATTTAAAGTTAGCGTGGTATATATATTCAATTTTTTCCTGAAAAGGTTTGGCAAAAAAAAATAAATCTGTTTGTTTATCATTCTTTATTTCTTAACGAATTATCATCGTTGATCTCATGCTTGAATTAAACTCACTTCGTTGATGAAGCCGAAGTGCACTAACTCTTGGGAGAGAGACAACGCAGTGTCCGCCTCTGTTATGGAACACGTTAATTGACGATTCATTTTGTCGTCCATCCGAAGTAGAATTGTCATCTGTTTGGAATAAAAATTGTATTATTAACACGTTATACGGTTCGTTCTTCATTTTGAGATAAATTTTATAAAGTATCTTATTATACAGAATATATTAAAAAATTATATGATATATATTACAATCGATTTACATAACTAATAACACGAAACACGTAATTCGTAAATGTATAAACCGACATTGTTAAAAATGTCTAGCGACAAGGGATCTCTATATAGCCATAATTTTTTTCAGATTATACATTATAGTTAATAATATACCGACCATAAAGTCGTTTTGAGCATCGTCTCGTGGTTTGATGTTGCACATCGTGTTAACGATACGTCTGACTTCGACGTCGATCGGCCCACAACTGCTCCTATCCGATGGAATGGATTGATCCATGGAACCGGTCGGACTCTGAGGCTGGTACGTAGTAAGTCGCACAGGTCCGGCTTCCAGGGCGTAAGCAGTCAATGGGTAAATGCCAAACCTTCATTTACGATAAGAAAAAACAGAGACGAATGTTATTCGAGTAAGTATACAAAATTATTCAAACTGCACACAATTTTCACGAAAAAAGGAACAATAATAAGCTAGGTAAACATTATGTGTGTATGTGTGTGTGTGTGGGTGGAAGGGGAATCACAAGTAGGAAGTATTGTCCTATATAGTTATAATAATATGTCTGTAGGTAGGAAATATTAATAAGTGGCTTTAGTTAACAATTGAATACAATTTTAAACGATGTTCATAATTTACACACATATAATATATGTCAAGTGTTAAATCGGCTTCATCTTTATGCCGTCTTTAAAATGACAATTGTGTTATTTAATATACGAGATGAAAAATTTATTTTTGAAATATAACTCCTAATGACTTAAATTAAGTTTAATATAAAAATAGGAACAGTCACTTGATTTAAATTAATAATATCGATCACCTACTGTGAATGAGTGATAAATTATGTTGGTTAACTGCTTACCTAGTTGAAATATTTTATTACCTACTAAATATAGTAAATAATATTTTCAACGTTATAATTTAATGCAAATATAAGTTGTCAAAACTAAGAATTATGCACAGAAAAATCAGTGAAATGTGCCAAGTTAAATTACGTTTTTAACGTTATCGACTTTTTGTTATATTCTACGAAGTGGATTTTATATATTAGTCAATAATTCTATCATATAAATCAGAATAGTGTAAAAAAAAATACGCAAAAATGGCAAATTCTTTAAATTTTTAGTCTTAAATTAATAATAATGATTAATGGATTCAGTTATATATATATATATATATATCAACATAGAATTTAGATAATAACGGTAGGTATACCACATACCTGACGTCTTCAACGAATTTTTCGAGCTTGTTGCTCTCTGGGACATCGGACATTTTGAATTGGACCGATCGAGTATCGTCGTCGACATGCACAATTTCAGCAATTACTTTTTCTTGAGAGTATAACTCATCAGACAGTCTGTCGGCAAAATGTTCTTGAAAACAGAATAAATAAATAAGATTAACATGAGTTTTAAGAAAGGAATGCGCTTATTTATGACAAATAATAATAGAAAAAAAAATCTTAATTTGGTCATAAGATTATTATGTATACTATTATATAAATATTAAATATTTTTTTGCTGATATAAATTATTGTACTTGGAACGCATAAACTCATAAAATATATTATAAAGAGAGTAGTAAATTAACATTTTTCGAGGTATATTTCTCCACAATCTAAAATCTCAGTATCTAAATTTAAATACTTATAGGTTATAATTAATTTAGTATTCTCTGGGAATTTAATTGTCAAATACGAAAGTTTTAATTTCTAAAACTATTCAAATTCAAAATATTTTATTTTTAATTCAAATATGTGGTAAAATATTTTTATTTTTTTTTTCAATAATCATGCTATAGAAACATGACATTTAAAATATTAACAATAACAATTAGTTAAATATTTGTTTTTTTTTTTCAAAATGTTATTTTTAACAAACTTAAAATTATATAAAAACAATAAAATTAATAGTTTTTGAAATATTGAGTGTTTATTGATATAATTCTTCATTTTATATATTATATATTTACATTAACAGTAACTAGAAGCCAGAAGGTTATTAGGAAAACTATTAAACAATATTTTCTATCCAAATTTAACTAACGCAACCTTTTATTTCTAAGTCTTTTGCTCAAACCTCAAATATGTCACAGGCTCTAGAAACCACAAAGTACTTACCAGTCTTGACCAAAGCGTGTGCCGCGAGTAATTTCAACGCGTGCACCTCAAACAGTATGGGGTGGAAGAGTAACGTTCGTGCCGACGGACGTTTCTCAAAATCGGCCGTCAGACACTGGTAGATCAGGTCCTTTTGTAGTGGATCGTCTAGCGACTCAATCGTGTGATTAATGTGGTCCTGCGTGACGAGCGTGCCACTGTCGCCATTACCCTGTATCTCTAGTGTGGCCATTTCCAATGCGCACATGCCAAACGCGTAAATGTCAATGGCGGGTGTCACAAAATCTGAAATCGAACGGTGGTTTTCTTTTAATAAAAAAATAACCCCATACAAGTAAAGAGAGACGTAGTGGTGAACGAAACTCATAGGTTAGGCACACGTTCAATAGAACGTATTTATTGTATTTAACATACATTGTATTGGGGTGAATTTTTCACATTTTATCGGTCGATATAGTACTTTCTTTTTAAGTATTCCTATACTCTTATTATAATACTATTTAAATATATTTTTACAAAAAAAAAAACAAATTCTGCAAATTTTAGAAAAAAAATATTTTGATATAAATCTCTAAAAATAAACATGTTTTTATTTATAAGTTATAACTTATAACCATTTGTAAATAACAGTAATATTATAAATATAATCAATGCATGTAATAATTTAATTTTAATTGAAACTTTTAGAGCATATCATCATGTTTTTATGGGAATTGATAAAATTGCTAATAAGTACGTTTTAAATGTCTTAATTGCTACAGCTATATGTACAAAGTACAACATTATATTATATTATATAAATACATAAAAAATAAATCATCGCGTAATATCAGAGTACCTCTCTATATAAATATGATATCGAAATAAATTAACTTACTTCCGCATTCTGGCGCAATAAAATGCATGTTTTTCATGTTTTCCCGGCAAGTCTTGATGTGCACGTGAATGGTGTCCGGAGCAACTATAGTTTTTATTTTTTTTTTTTTAAGAAAAGAATTACTATTAGTATCGTCGTAATCACAGTCGTGCGTCAGCTCGATCCGATCGCATGTACATTTGACCCGATCCTGCCCAGTCCTGGACAACCCACGCGGTCCTTAACGCCGAAACAATGTATACACCGCGAACGCGTTTACAATCCTACACAGAAACATGGGGTGGCCCTAGAATCGTCATTGCCTAGGACTGTCGGCCGGCGACAAAGTACATTGCGAAACGTTTCGGAGCTTAAGCACTGAAAACAAGATTTTTCCGTATTGTTTTTAAACCATGCTTAGTATCATAACAATTATCATCACCTTCCATAATAATTGCATACTGCCTTATATATATTATTATAGGTATGTTATAATTTCTAATGTTTTTTTTTTATATATATATATAAATTTTTTGGTAATGTTCCCTTACATGGCATGTTTCGCTCGTGCGGTACTTTACCTGATCCTATTTTCACGAGTCCATTGTGTTGGATAAATATCGTGTCACAGGTCAGATTCCCATGGATGATGGGCGGTGAACATGAATGCAAGTAACTGAAAAACAAACGACAACTTTTGTTTTTGTTTTTTTTTGTTTTTTTTTTGCTTTTGGGCAGCGGTGGTCTTTTTCACAGACACACACACTACACGGCTGGATAGCACAATTTTTTGACCCGTATTTTTGGACGTTCATTATTCTACACAGAAAAAAAAACACCAGCTATTGGCGATTGTCCGGTCGGACCGGCGAAGCTCGGGACGACTATATAAATTATTCGTTTTCATAATATTAAATAAAATATTATAATCATAAATAGCTGCTAGTGCACAATACAATATATGTATATATATATATATATATATATTTGTTTTAATATACACAATATACATACATAGTATATACGTATGTACACGTAACATAATAAAATGTACAATAAAAAATAATAAAATTTTTTTTCATATATATTATAGGTAATATTTTATAATTGAGCGCCAAAACTGCAACAAACGAACGAGGCGAGATTTTTGTCAAAGTAGCCCGAATTATTGTCGCCTACACTTGCGACGAGAGAAGCAAAACCACAACGACTATAACATTCTCCGACAACACGCACGGCCCGCGATGATATATTACGACTGTACAAATAATATAGCTAGTAGGCTATATTAATTAATTAGGCTTATTAATAGTAGTAGTAGTAGTAGTAGTAGTAGTAGTAGTAGTAGTAGTAATAGTATTATTTATACAGGTCGTGTGGTGTTGGCGACATCGGTGGCAGTATCGATTTGGCGAATCATTTTTCTTTATTGATTATAATTTCAGTTTGTTTTTGTCTTATCATTTTTCGATATAAATCCTTCTGAAAAAATACAATTATACACTCACACACACACACAAATAATAATTGGGCGTGCGCGTATGACAGGAGATTATTGCCATCAGTTGCGATCTCGCTGTCCCAATGGCGGTCTTCCACATCTTCTCCTGAGTAGAGTGAGTACAAGTTCTGCAATCAACGGCGGCTACGGCGACAACGACTTTTCCAGTTGTACCAGTCTGATATGTTATTATTACATTATTTCACGTTTATCGAGTATTTACTATACCGTTTTATTATTATATTTTATACAATATACTCACATATCTATTATTGTTATATACATAAAATACCTAGCTATACACACACATATATATAATATTGTTTTGTTGTTTGTATAGACAAAATATATTATTAGATATAAGTACACGTAATATTTTATGTTGTTACACGCTATTCTATAAAACGTAATATATACGCTTTGCGCTGATAACGGAAAAGTGCAACGGTAACGTGAAGATTAAAAAAAAAGTAGAATGATCCTAATACCAACAGGATCGGAGTGACCAGTGCTAGCACATACCTTAGGGCCGATAGGATTTGCGTGCACCATCGTTTCCACGCTGTCAGTGAAATCTTCTTCACGTTGCGTTTGGTACGTTTTAGGAACTGTTTCAACGAGCCAGAAGACATGTATTCTGTAATGAATATGACCTGCGAAAACACACAATAGACGCATACATCGAGGTTAACGGACGTCATTTATAATCAATATTGGATAATATATTATACACGAGGTGATTTTTTTGTAGGCACCAGTTTTTTCCATGATAAAGTAACATGGTATGATGGTATTTATGTGATATACAGTCGTGACGTAGGCATCATGTTGTTTTGTGGAGTGATCATAGCTTTATACAATATTATACATATTGTATTGACCAGTCAGATGATGCGCAATTCATGTGCAGTCCATCAAATACGGCAAAAAATGTCATCTAACCATGTTACTTTTATGACAGTTTTTTCTTTCATTTTTTAAATAAAATGCCTATGCCCTATAGTGTATCAAATTTCTGATAAATAGCGTACAAATAATGAAATATCGAACCAACAATCAATTATTTATATTATTTACATAAATATTTAACGTATCAGCAATTTATACGATGATCTGTCTTCCAGTATTTGTTTCTATCCTTGAAATTATAAGGAATAACTTTAAGGATTAACATCAGAAGAAAAAAAAATTTCATATTATGGAAATAACATTTACCGACAAATTATACGTCAACAAAATTACCCTGTGAGCATATACGTGAAATTATTAAGTATAATACGTTAGAAGTTCTAATCATTATTATCATTATTATAATGTAATATAATATACAATAGAAATTACTTGATGCAACTTCAAAGAAATCACATAGCTTGATAGCATTGACTGATAGTAGGTTGTATAGGTACAAAACGATAGACAAAAAACATAGGAATTTTAGCTAGGTTAGATTATCACTTAAGATTTTGTACGTATAACAGTTAATACGATAAGATTAATACGAGACGTGTTAACCGATAATGTACTTAACTATTTTTTACTGTATATCATATAGTTTTTTTAAGCTGGTGGGAGGGGCAGGGGTTTTTTCGATTATATAGTAATTACGCGTGGTTTGTCGTTGTGCGTGTCCGTCCAATACCGATGGAAGTTCACGATGTTGGGATGCTGGAGTTGAGTGAGGCTTTCAAACACTTGCCGGATCTTGTCTTCTTGGGCCTTGTAGTTTTTGCGCTCCGAGAACTGCACCTCGTTCCACACCACCTCCACCCCCTCTTCAGTGTCCATGGCCAAGTACGCGCAATCGATTCCAGGAACATCTCGTTGCTCCACCTACGAGAAAACAAAACAGAAAGTATCCGTGTTAATTATTATACACTGTCATGATTTTACCAATAAAGACACGTATCTATTAAAATATATGTTTTATATTTATTAAACACTTCCTATGTAATTATATCGTTCATTAAACAATAATCAATGACATTATTATAAATCGGTATCAAACATAACAAAAATCAGTAATTATTGAAATGTAAATATATACTTGTATCGTATCTATCAAGTGCGAATTTATGGTATGTGGTCTACGATAAAATGCATCCTGGTACGAGTTAAGAGCCAAGTGTGAAAAAGGAAATCGATGTTGATAAAATTATTAACTGCAGTGCTGCAATGCTGTGGAGTATTATACCACCTAGACCTAATATATATCTTATGCATGACGCAATAACCCTCGATTCATCCTTGTAATGACTTTCAACGATCTGCATAAACCGCAAAATCTAACGGCAATAATACAGCAACGGTATATTGACGTTCCGCCAATTGTTACACGGCGTGTTCTGACACAATTAATGATGTAAATGGAAAATCGGAATTAACGCGTTTAAAAAACGTCCGTCGTTATTACACACGCACACATATATATTGTATTATGTTTATCCGTGCTCTATCCCAAGAGATATTTTTCTGTTATTATAGAAGGGTGACAAACTCCGTATTTGTGTCTTACGTGAACGTTTATATTTGATGTTATTGATAGATGTTTTTGAAATACTTAGCCGATTGTAGTGTCTTGTATAAAAGAACTTTAAAACAAAACAAACGCCGTAGAGCAACACGACGAGAGAAAAAAAATACACGTATCTATGTTGTGTGGTTTTACATTTGTAACTGCAAAAACGTAGAATTAGTTTTTGGGAACGATCAATACACTACAATAATATGTATTATATATTACAAGATGGAGTCGTAAAACTACATCGAAAACTCGCAGCAGCATAACTGGAGCACCAAAAATTACAAAATTAGATTCTGTGAAACTATAGTATATTTATGTTTTTACAATTTATAAATAATATGACACACTACCGATAAATTACAAAGAGTATTTACAGTACACTTAAGATAATTTATGCATCTTAAAAACCAATTCGCTTAAAATTTAAATTTCATAAAAAAGGATAATCAAAAGGACGAATTCGATAAATAATTGTCTATATCAGTGATTCCTAATCTTTTTTGTTCGGCGTGCCACTTGAGTAAACAATCATTTTCGAGTGGGCCACCAAATACAAAAGTTCGAATAGTCCCAATCTTAATCTAATAAAATAATTTTATTGAACATAATCGAACCAGATTTTTCATTATTAGTAAAGCAAACTCAAGTTAATATTTTACATAAACATTTTTTTTAAATTTTATTATTATCATTACTTTTATAAAATAAATAAATATAATTTTATATTTTTTAGATTATTTTGTTTTATACAAAAATTTGTAGCGGGTTGAGCACGGCACCACTGATCTATGTTATAAACTTTATAATATAAAGTATCCAAGTACACGCTAAGTAGGTATATTTATTCTTTAGAAAGACGCTACATCTATACATTTTATAAACTTATTAAAAATAAAATGCATGGCAAATTTTCGTTCAGCAAAACCAATTATGTGTGTTAGATTAAACATTTTAAGAGTACCAATATTAATTAGAGTGAATTGAATTTACTTATTATTAAATTTAAAGGTAAATACATGATATATATTTGCACGGTGATTTATTTTTAAGATAATTATCTAACTATAACAAATATTTTAATTTAAAAATGTTAATAATTCACTATATAATATAATATGTATATACTACATAGTAAAAAATAACACTAATATTAAGGTTAATAACACTATTGGTTTTTGCTATTAAATTAAAAATACAATGTCCATTAAGAAAATTATTTGGATAAAAACCTAAATTGTTTTCATAAATACTAAAATAAAATTGTAATGAAATTATTCTAAAAGTAGTGTTCTTATACTGTATTATTAATTATTTTATTCATAATATTATTATATACGACCGCAATTACGAAATTGTTCTCTAAAACGTAGGAGCCACGACACGTGCAGCGTCTTGCACAATGACAATATTTACATGTATGTTATACTATTATACAACAGAGAAAAAACTCGCTCACTGCTATTGAGTTTAACATAAGCCGATATATTGTAATGTGATGAGTGATGACTAACGACTGCAACAGTAAACACCTTTGGGATACGGATAGAATAAATTCATTAGTCATAAATTTAATTAAATAACCTCTACGAGCACGTTATGTTTAAAGTGTAAATTATCGAATTGTCAGTAGAAAAACTAAAAACTAACGAGGAAACTGCGTTTTACGATGTTATGGCATAATAATAGTGAAAACGACGATATAAATAAAAACAACAAATGCAATAATCGATTAGTTATTTTTTCAAATGTCTGCACGAAAAAAATAAAATAAAATGAAAACCGAATAATAACGATGACGAAAATAAATTACAATGTTCCGAGATACTAATGTATGAAACACATGATATTATTAGTAGAGCACAATTTAGTATTTACATATCATCGTTATATATCCCCTGTATAGGTATATCCGTATTCTATATGAATAAACGATCGATACCAAAACAAACAATATGGCGAAGGCAATGTTGGTAACATATATAGAGTAATATACTAAGAGTGTTGTCGTATAATCGTAAAATAATTTCTAATGTTCTTTATAATTAATACATTTTTATAAAGGTTTTTTATAATTTAACACAATTAAGCAGTATTTTTACAACAATCACTAGTTCAGCCTCGATTATAAATATATATAATAATACTGTAATGGACGTTTGAGAATAACATACATTAGACTAGGACTAATAATAAAAGACTACACTGTAATAGGTACAAATACTAAGTGGAGATTAAGCCTTAGTCCTCGATTATATATAGGTACGTAGTTTTATAGGTGAATGGGCAGAGTCTAAACTTATACAATTAAGCGAGTCCCATGAAATATGTATATACTATTGTATTGTTAATATAGGAGTATAAGGCTTCTAATACAAAGGACAAACATTTTATTAATCTAATAGTCTAAATAGATAATATCTTAAAAAATAGTTTAAATTTAAATTTATATTTACGCTAGGTACTAATGTTATGTTACATTATTGACATTTGCTTGATTAGGTGACATATTCGAAAAATATGGTTAAATGGCAGTAGGTAGTGGCGTAGAGTTTTATCGTGTAGTTAAATTATCATTGCAATAAGAATAATATAATATAGTGTAGTTTGGACTCGTTTTAATAATAACATATATAATACCTATATAAACCGAAATGTATAACGGATACGAAAATCATACTCGTACATTTAAATCCTAGTTACCATTACGCGTCCTTATTATTATATAGCCGGAAATAAGATGTCGAGGAAGATTTGCGTCATATAACGGAAACGCGACGCCAATAATCACTATCAATGAGTGTTATTAATTATTTTTTGACACGTTTCATAGCTATAAGTTTCTCGGCGTCATATCACATATCTAAATTTGACTTGGGACAAGTTTAGACAAGTTTTCTATAAAATGCATACTTAACGGTAATAAAAACTACTGAGTACATATAAATCAAACTGTTTATAGCTATATCGAATATAAAAAAAAAGGAATCAATATTCGAGTACATTAATTGGTTTTGAAATGTAAAAAAATATGTATACGATGAATAAAGATAAAAATTGTTTTAACTGGTTTCGAGATTAGAGACACATTGATACTTTCCTTCAATTCCTCAAAGAAATAGAATTATTCCAAAAATTCTAACATATCTTTTGATCATACGCATATAAAATAAAATTGACACTATAATATTATATTTTAATCTAACATCAAATAAAATTAATTTGAATATTTTACAATGCCTTTATTGCTTTTATAATTTATCCGACTTCAGTTGTAGTTGTGCAGGTATAATAACTGTAAGGAAAGAATAAATAAGTTAAGATTCTTGCTGTTGATCAAACCAATTATGTTAAATTTTCGCAATGTTTCGCAAACGTCCACTTTCGACAAAACAACAACTTCTGACGATAATCGTATTTTAAAAAACACAGTCATTAAAAACGAACATAGGTATGATAACATTGTTGTCGACACTACGTCATTTTGAACAATAATATTATTATATTTTAACGCAGAAAATTGTAAACAAAAATATGCATATAATACGACTGGTATCGACAGCAACTAAATATGAGTGAATTTATAATTGTATATAACTGTAAAAAGGATCAAGAACTGGCAATGCGATATTCTGCAATCTATAATAATCTCCTACGCCGCATCTGTAGTACGTATGTTTAATCTTCACTAAATTATCAAAATTCTGTTGAAATAGGCGAATAAAAGGAACATTTCTAATATTTAGTAAATACTATTTACCCAAATTATTTTTATGGAATAGACGCGACAAATTAATTAAATACCTAATATGCATGAATAGTATTCTATTATAACTATATATGAAAAATATATTGATAATTTATTTTTAATGGATATGAGATATCATCAATATTTTTCTATCGTTAAAATTACACAATTAAATCAATGTTAAAAACTATATAATTTCTTTTGTGTGTTTTTTTTCGATAATATTTTGTTTACGCCAATCCCGAAATCTGACCTTACGTACGTTGTGTTGTTTTGTTGTTTTTACTTTGATCTCCTCTACCCTTTATAACATTTATAAATATGTATATTTTGTACATACACGGTCCACCGGAGTCAGCCTCATCACGACGATAATAATATACGAAGACGCCGTTTAATTCGAAAATAGACGTGCACGCAATTTATTTTTTGCATAAAGCGCAATCGGCCAAAAATTTTTTTCCTCTTGTATAAAATCATATGGCTTATTATATATATACATATTGTATCTAACAGCACGCGATATAACGATCGCGTCGTGATGGTGGCCTTAAGGCACATCCA